TTAGTTAGTCAGTCAGTTAGTTAGTTCGTGTGTAATATTGTTTTATTTTTCCAGCTTAAAAGTCAAAGTTTGTTGATATTTTCTTGACCACTGAAAAACAAACATATTTATAGCCAGATGTTTCACTAATTCCTTCATTTATCTATCTTAACAAGTTTTTATTCTTCTGGATTTTCATGACCGATACCATAAAAATTTTTTAGCATGATTCGATGTGTCATGTCAATATGGTAGGAAACTATTGGGAATAAAATGTATCGAATTGTTCCCAGTTTAGTTACGATAACAGTACTTACTTACTTACGCCTACTACCCCCAATGGAGCATAGGCCGCTCACCAGTTTCCTCCAACCAACTCTGTCCTGGGCTTCCTTCTCCAGTTCTGTCCAATGTTTGTTCATTCCTCTCATATCTTTCTCTATTTCTCGGCGTAGTGTGTTCCTTGGCCTTCCTCTTTTCCTTTTGCCTTGAGGGTTCCATGTGAGGGCTTGTCTTGTGACGCAGTTAGGTGCTTTTCGTAGCGTGTGTCCTATCCACTTCCACCGCTTCTTCCTGATTTCCTCTTCCACTGGTTTGTTCTCTCCCACAGTAGAGTAGTGAGGCAAAAAATAAGAACGCTGACAACAAGTAGAGTTGTTTCGTCAGGGGTAGTGTACAAGACAGAAAATCATTTGAAATAATCTTCAATCTCGGCTTCGCTCAATGATATCTTCCAAAATGAATAAGTGTTTAGACGAAAGGTTCGGGCGTTCGTTTGAAACGGTGTATTCATATAAGTTAAGGGGGAGATTTACAAATCTAAGATGGTGACTTATTTTTTCAGGGAGGGAAATGTGATAAAGTGAGTCCATCAGAAGTGGCCAAATTAGTGAGCTATTTGATAAACATTAGAAAATGTCCGAAAAGACGAATATTTATATATATCATTTATCAATCAAAAAAAACAGCTTCCATCTCTGAGGTGAACTAATATTTGTATATATTTTCAGGTAGCCAACGAAATTTCAATTTTGTTATGCTCATCACTTGATATGCTTGAAACTATTACGAGTTCAACTTAGTCAATAAACGAGAACGATACAATGTACCAGTAACACGGTAGGCTACTCTTATCCGTTGCTCCAAACTAACTGAAGAAAAATGCTTGAAATGGTGTAGAAAGTGTATTCTACAAACACCCATCAAAAAGAATGAGCTCAAGCACACAAATCGAGTTTATTTTTGCATCATAGCAACGTCCTTGGGAGGGCCACAAAAATAGCACACTAAAACAACATATTAACCAATCATAGCCAAGGATTTTCCTTGTGGGAAATGTAATCTCAAGGTCAGCTGGTAAGCCAATGAATAAAATCCACAATTAAGGCCTTTATGTCAAGTGAGTTCTGAAGATCTAACGTTGCCAACAATGTTGTATTAGTTTAGATTCTTGAATCGCATTTACTACTTCCATTTCTCAACTCTCTCATATTCAGAGTTACACTGATATTCAAACTATTATTCTCTGATTCTCTCCTTTTTATCATATTAATTTCTTGGATTGTTGAATTGACTAGAAGTTTAGTCATTAAAATTAATTTAAATTCATAACTGGTATAAGTAATTATGTAAAGAGATTTATTAAATTTGAATGTTGGTTAACAGAGAAATTCAGGATTCCAGTTTTATCTTAATTGAGATTTTGTCAACTGGATGTGTACGTATGTATGCCATAGTCGATAGCCATTCTGGGATTCGAACCTAGTAACGTTTGTTTTGAATGGCAGTGCATTGCCCAGTTGGCTACTTAATTCAAAATAGTTACTCATGATTTATGCGATGGACATGAATTTCTACTTAATTTGTAATGGTTTTGGATCATTACAGGTACATTCTAGTTAAGAAGTTCTGTTCGCGAGGTTAGATCTCCAGAACTCACTTGGAAAAGGTCCTAATTTTGTAGTTTATTACTGAAATTTTGAATTTTTTTCTGTTTTTGTGCCAAAGACGCTTCTTTGACCTTCGGCTTACATTTCTCACTTGGAAAATCCTTGACTGTGATTGGTTGATGAGATTATTTTAGTACGCTATTTTTGTGGCTTTCACCAAGAGCGCTTTACCAATTGTTTAAATAAGCTTCAGTTGTGTGCTTGTAGACCTCGTATTGTCTGGGTGCCTGTAGAATACATTATCTACGCCTTATCAAGACTTTTGCTCTCATTAGCATGGCCTGAGACAATCGGATAAGAATAGCCTATCGTGTTACTGTATCGTTGTTCTTTGTTCCGTTTACCGAGTAAGATGATTTCGTATATCAAGTTCCTAGAAGGAAGGAATAGGTCTCCTGACTATGATCATTATTGACACACCATATATTTGATATATACTTTGGTTAAACTTAGACTAAACGAAGAAAGATCTATACATGATGGACAAGTTGCAGCACCTCACACGCATTTGAATTTGTTTACATTTAACTTGGTTAAGCTGATCTTTCGACTGACCAAGCAGTAGCTTATCTATACAATTGCTCTTTTTTATTATTGAGTTTGTATGAGCAGATATGCTTGAGTATGGCTTGCCACTTACGCATATATATTCATTCTGCTAGCTTTAACGATGATTCGTTTGTTTAGATAAATTCACTAATTGCAACCATCATTACATAATCGAAATAATGTACTCACTAAGACAGATCACAATGATGTTAAAATATGAGGAGAAAAGATCATCCGAACAATTACAACTTATCCTACATCTTATGACGATTTCTAAATTGTTGGGATCTTGGGACGCTCGGATTAGAGTAACCTATCATGTCACTGGATCATTTGTCTTCGTTCTCGTTTACCGACTAAATTGAACTCGTAATAGTTTCAAGTATATCAACTGACTTGAGCATAACATAAATATACATGAAATCATAAACATAGTCGTTACAAAATCGGAATTTCAACGATTCAATCCTATTTAAAGTAAAATAACTAGTATGTACTGTGAATGAATTCTTAAAGGAAAAAAAATTGTGTGAAACCACTTTATAAACATCTTTTAAAAAAATTTTCACTTTCTTTTCCTATTATTTTTTTTAACTAAGATTATATTTTATAAAATGAAATATATATTTATTAAAAGAAAATATAAATTATTTTTTTGTAAAAAAAATGAAATTTCAAATGAACACTTAACATTGAACGTTAACATTGATACTTGAACAAAAATAACAAATTAAAACAAAACAAGAATGACAACGTTATTTAGGCATATATATATCAATTATTTTCATCACTATTTTTTTTAATTAACACCTATTTGAATATCATAATTTTAAATGAATATTTTTTGTTCGTTTTTAATAGTATTTGTTACAAAAAAAATTTATTATTTATCAAGTTGAAAAATGCTTTTAATTCATTCATAATGATAGAAAATTCAATTATTCAATAGAATTTACGAGATAAAGAGAGAGAGAGAGGGAGAGACAACTCGAGAACACATTGAATCAAATGTTTCATTTATATTTAAAACTTCCAATGGAATGTGCGTAGTTCAGAGGTTAAGCGTTGGCGTACAATATCGAAGGTCCCGGGTTCAAATCCTGTGAGATGCAGGAGTTGGGGATGCGCATTGCTGACGAGTGTCCTACCGGGACGAAACGGCCGTCTTCTAGTGCTTCAAGGTTTCTTTCTAGTGGTGGTCTAACAATGATTGACTGATGATTTCAAATGTGTACAAACACTAATCTCCATAACTCTAATTGAGAATATGCGTTTGTTGTATTTTATAATTCGGTGAATTTCTGTACTTTGTAATTGAGTTGATTTATTGGCTTTGTAGATTGATTTTTAATTCTGAAAAGTTAAGTTGACCAAAAGACATAAAATGATGACAACTTAAAGATCTGTATTAGCAGTAAACGGTTGTGAAGATTGTTGAGTTACATGGCTGAAATCATGAATCGATCAATGTTAGACAGCACCATTAGAAAATGAAAGCATTGAAAAACATTCGTTTTGTCCTGGTATTGGACTCGTCAGCAGTGTGCATTCATGACCCGAATGGACTTTAATCCTGTTTGGGTGTGAAGTAGTGCTCATCAAAGACAGTGCGTGGAGTTTTGCGAAATCCTTAGAATGATCAAAGTTAGACATAAACACTGTTAGATACCGGCTCAATAGTTCAGAAGTTTGACGTTCGCGCACAAGACCGAAGGTCCTCAGTCTGAATCCTACGAGTAACTGTAGTTATGGATGCGCACTGCCACTGATGAGTAGTCCCATTCCAGAACGAAACGACTGTCTTTCAGTGCTTCAATGTTTCTAATGCTTTGGTCTAATATTGATCGATTTATGAGTTCAAAAAAAATTTCTATCGGAAAATTTTTTAGAATTATATTGTCTCTCTTTTAAATTTAAAAATTGTAAATGCTATTTAGTCATACATATAATCGTCCGGTTAAATGAATGCTTTTTAAAAGTTTGCTTTCCAAAAGTTTGTTTTGGACAATAGAAAAATGCTTTTTCAGAATGTTTTTAAATCAAATTAGATTGAATTAATAAAACCTTAGAGTATGTACACTTTTGTTACTGAAGTCACGAATTAACCGTTTTGAGACCACCACCTTGTGGCACTGAAAGACGTCCGTTTTGTCCCGATATGGAACTCATCAGCAGTGTGCATACATGAAAGCTCCCAGTGGGAATAGAACCCAGGACCTTCAGATTCGTCCACGAACGCTTAACTGAGCCAAAATCACACTATGTTAATGCCCAACTTTGATCAATGCACGATTTTACACAACCTCACTCACTGTCTTCGGTAGTTACTACCGAAACCCAACAGGGTTGAGCTCTACTGATCCCATACCATGATGAAAAAAGTAGACTTTTACTTGGGACTTGTAAATTAGGATTATTCTAATGACTATTCTATGCACGAAACCAAATTTCCCCTTATTCTTTTTCACTCCACTAATTATCATTCTCCTTTTTGTTTTTTTCTAAAAAAAAACACCCCCTTAGAAATTCTTTTCAATCCTAACACTGAACACCCTCTCCATTGTCCTATTCAGTCAACAACACCTACATTGAATACTACTGATTCAGGTAAAAATTACAGTACAGAGTTTCTCAATGACACTTTATTACAACACAATAAATTCAATTATGACAAACAAGCATTCTCATCCTCCATGTTGATTTCATCATTATTGCCTTCCGTAGAACAACACTACACTCCTTATTATCATTATGATAATTCCTATTGGAATCTACCATACACTACTACTAGTAGTAGACTAGACTCTCATAACAACAATACTAAACAAGACAATTCATTACAACATTCCATTCAATCCCAGTGTTCATTGACTAATTGCTATAATACAAGCAATCTTGACAAACTATCAGCTGTAACATCTAACTTTATAAATCCTATTCATTATTCTGTCATGAACTGTACAACGGCGGATATTATTTCTCGAATGAATAATGATTATGTTGCTGCTAGTAATAGTAGCACTACAAATACTACTACTAGTACTACTAGTACTACTAGTAGTACTATAACTAGCCCTACTACTTATAAACCGAAACGTGAATACAGAATGAAATCTAGAAAATCGATTCCTACTAATTTTGTACATAAAAAATCCAATATCACATCCAACTGTTTAACATCACCTGGAAATGTCAATTTATTGACAGATTTCATGAATCCGGAGCATGTATTCATGAAATCCGATTGTAACGACAGGAATGATCATCATCAGAGAGGTGACCACAATGATAGTGGTGATGCTGATGACGGAGATGATGACGATGAGTGCGGTGATAGTGGTGATCTGGACGGTAATAACAATAACACTACTAATAATCTCAAATCAAACAAACGTAGAAGACATAGGTAAGTCAATCGGCTATAATGATTTATTCTTCAGAGATACATACATATATATGATAACATTTTAGTCACTTATTATAGTATAATGTTGAATACAGTATCTGTTTAAAACTCATAGGATCACTTTTATAAACATAGGCCGTCGACTAACATTCTCCAACCTACTCTGTCCTAGTGTGGTGCGAGCTAATTATAAGTAGTATAGGACGTGAGTGTCAACGTAATGTCCGGCAGCAGAACATGGGGGAAGATCAAGAAAGGAAGAGTGGGAACACAATGGAATTTGTATGAAACGCATGAATAGTGACAATGGATTGATGTTTTGCAACAGGAACAGTCCAGTTCGATATGATGAACTGATATTTTGCAAATTAACCGTTTACGATATGGTTTTCCGATTTTACTGAGTAACTCTGTAATTTTCGTTAAATACAATTCGGTTGCCCCACCTGTGATCTCGTCCACTACACTAGGACTTCCTTCCTAGTTCTATCCAATTGTTACTCATTCTTCTCATGTTTGTCTTCATTTTCGGCGCAAAGTGTTTTTCGGCCTTCATTTTCTCCAATGGACATGAGAATTCCAGCTGATGGCTCGCCTTGTGATTCAGTGATTCAATGTTTGACCAACTAATATTTGAATAAAACTATTGACAGAATAACATGATTCCGTTATATTTGAAGGCGGCTGTTCATAAAAAGTCGTCTCAAATTGACACTTGGAGTGTGTGTCCTAGCGTGTTGAGCCCACATGACTTAGTCCAGCCCGCGGACAAAATTACTTGATCCATCCATCCTTCTGGAGTTATGATTCATAAGTATTTCAACCTTGTCAGTGATTCGCTTATAATCTTGGTTGGTTTTTACGCGAGTAAGTATGCAGATTTCTTACATCACTTAGCACATGTCTAGCTGATTTCTAACTGACTATAAGTGCTTAGTTATGCCACATCATATCGAGTTGTTCTATTCGCCTTCGCTTCCCCGCCCTTAGTCCTTTCGTCTGTCTGTGTGAACGATCGCATCAAATAAACTCATCCAACTAAATCATTATTTGAGTTTTTATTACCGCAGTCGCGCAAAACAGGATTTTTCGAAGGACAACATACAGAAATTAAATGAATTCATTTTATTCTGCAAAAAATATTGTTCTAACTTTGTTTGAATTTATCAAGGCATCAGAGCGTAAGAATTTGAATAGTTAACCAAGTTTTTTATAAAAACATCTGAACTATGTTGCATGGACAACTGTTACTGAACACTTCTCAGTCAGTCAGTAGCAACGTAGAACATCGTACGTATGTACATAAGTTCAGGTTGTCATACCACATTAGCACAGAGACGCAAATGTCAAATCAAATCCCATAGTGATAAAGATAGTAGAGGTATTAATGGTAATGAAGAAGATTAGGGTTTGAAGATATTATTCAACAAGTATAATTCAGTGAGATAATAACTTCAGAAAGACAAAGGTAGAGGTGTTGACGAATCCAGAAGATTAGGATTTGAGAGAGCTCAACGTATGGATGCACTTGCTTCATTGCAAATGATGTTGAGTCATGTCGTTATAGGTCTCTAACCATTGGTGACTTTCGTCTCGCGGACCCCAACCAAGTAGCCTACATCTACCAACATGACTCAGTCCACTTGTCAGTGACTTCATGGATTTGTGCCATGTCTTGGTTTGGCCGCCCCTAACTTTCTTCCAACCTACTCCAACACCACAAAACATAGCTCGTCGAGGTAGTCTTCTATCTTGTGGATGATGGCTTTCTTGCTTCCCCAAGTTTGTGCTCAAAACAGTTGAGCTGTATTGATGTTTATGTCACAAATTCTAACTCCGCTGTTAGTAGACAGTTGTCTTGCATTGCAGATGTACGTCAATTACCCTTGCTTTCTTACTCCATGTCCTTACATCTGTATTATATACACCTTGTTTAACATTGATGTTGCCCATATATGTGAAGTTTTCCACATCGTCTAATGCTTCAATGTCAAATGTGATTTGGTTGGTGTCTTTTGTGTGTTATATTGAAGAATCTTACCTTTTCTCTTGTCTACGTTGAAATATACTGCTTCAGAGGTTGTCGCTACATTGATCATCTTCTCCTAAACTTTTGTTGTTCTTTGTGATGTAGAATGGCTAAGTGATCTGTGATCGTCTGTGATCATCTAGCATCATAGTGTAAGAATTTGAATAGTTAATCCATTTTCTATACAAAAATCTATCATCACTTTGTGAATAGCTGTTTGTTTGTTGTACTAATTTGATCTAAACTGATTTATTCGTTTATCTGGTGTATTGATTTTATTTAGGACAATATTTACAAGTGGACAATTGAAAGAATTAGAGAAAGCATTTCATGAAGCTCACTATCCAGATGTTTATCAACGTGAATTGTTATCAATGAAAGCTGAACTACCTGAAGATAGAATACAAGTAAGCAGTAAAAGTATTATGATAAAATGTTTAGAGATGGTTGAATTTTATTCAAAGTATGATTGGATTAACGTTGGGTCATATTTAGAAACCAGAAAGCACTGATCGGTCATTTATTCTTAGCATAGGACTTATTATGGGTGTGCACCGACGATCCAGGAACTTCGGTCTCATCCTTAACCTCTTGGTCATTGAGCTGGCATTCAACGGTGTGAATGCTTGAGTTCAGTCAACGAGTGATATTCCATGACCTGATCCGTTGTGTTCTGTCAATCAATCAATCAATCAACAGTAATGTAGTACTTCGTACGTACGTACATCAGTTCAAGTTACCATACTACAGTAGCACTGAGATGTAATTATTAATTCAAATCCCATAGTGCTAGAGATAGTAGAAGTATTAGCAGTAAACGGAGAGATTAGGGTTCTAGCATATTATTCAAGAAGTAGAATCTAGTGAAATAAACCTAAAAAGAAAAAGATAAAGGTGATGAGGAACTCTGAAGGTTAGGATTTGAGAGAATAATGTCCTGTTGATAACTGCCTCACACCGAAAAACGTTCGTGAGCGACAGTGCAGGTCCTAAGTTCGATTCCCACTCCAGAGGTCATGGATGCGCACTAGTGCAAAATCTCATACTAGAGCAAGACGGCCGCCTTGTGCTTACAGGTTTTCAATGATGGTCTAACGACTGAACTAACTGACAACGTTCTCAGTATATGCTGACTGTGATGTATCCATCACTTCTGGTTAATTTTAGACTCATTTAATGAGCTGCTGGTTTAGATTAAAGCTTAATTCTTATTGACGATTTTGTTTCAAGTAATTAAAGTTATCTACATCTGTTATGGACCTGTTAATGGAAAACAAAACTATGTTACAAGTTAAGACCTGAAATGAAATTTCCAATGCAAATTACATTAAAATACGGCCATCGACGGTAAATAAAACGACCGACGATAACCCTAGAAGGGCTCCAGGTGGAGTTATATTTAAGTTTAGAAAGTATAATATTGTTGATCATAAAGGTAGTCACCTAGTCAATGATCGGTAAATCTATATCATTAGATGGAAGAATTAATTTCTACTGAAAATCTCCAAGTATATTTAGTGACGGTCAACAACGATATGTATCATGAATATTTCGTTGTGCTATGTACTTAACTTATATAAACGACAGGAAATCTTTTGAAGACTATATTTAAAATTCTTTTCCTGTCAGAAGTCAAATCATTGGATTACAAAGATCTATTATTGTTAACTTAAAGACTTACTTTGTGGGAAAATTCTTAGAGACGCCATAACCAGTCGAGTTCAAATGTGTTGGGTGTGAGGCACTGGTTACCTATCAAGCACAACTGATCAGGCCAAGCGAATATTATGAAGTGATTTAAGTTAGTTATTAACACTATAGGATTCCGGCTGAGTAGTCAAGAGATTAAGTGATCACGAATCAGACGGAAGGTCCTGAAGGCTCGACTTCCTCTCGTGACGTTGTAGATACACACCGTTAATGAGTGCTACACTAAGATTAAATGGCCGTTCAGTGCTTTCTGGTTTCTAATGATGACCTGATATTGATCGATTCATGATTTTAATGAAACTCAACAAGCTCCATAACTTTGGTAGAGCAACGAAAAGACATAGTTGATCTGAAAAATGGATGGTGTATTTGCGCTATACATCCTGAATGATTTGGTCACACACATATACTTATCAAGGCATTTTATGTTTGGTTAAGTTCAATTGAACAAAAGTTTAAACAAATATAGGGTGTTAACTGTAAATAAAGGACAGAGGAAATTAACCTAATATACAAAGAATTTGGAAATTGTTGCATTATTCTAGGCCATAAAATCGATTACAGATTATGACAAATTGTTTTTGTACACAGATATATATGTGCGTAACCAAAATTTTCAAAATATGTATAGCGTAAATTTATCACGCATTTTCAGATCAACTATATCGACTCATTGTTCTCTGAAACTTTATAAAAAGAGACGAATTGGTTTATTAGTGGCTGGTAATAAAACCTAGTTGTGCTATACGGGTAACTGCTTCACACCTGATACGGTTCATGAGCAAAACTAAAGGTCCCGACTTCGATTACCATTCCAGAGGTTGTGTGAATACGCATTAGTACAAAAACTCAAATAATTCCTATCGACATTTTACATAAACTTAATTGCATTACGGAGCTGTGAAGATTGTTAGGTTACACATTTTGAGATGGTGGAGAAGATTTCTAGCTCAGGTGGATGATTGCGGTGGTGGTGTTTGGTTCTCTGAGTTAAGTTACACATTTGAAATCATGGAACGATCAATGTTAGACCACCATTAGAAACCTGGAAGCATTGAAACACGGCCGTTTCATCCTGGTACGGGACTACTCATCAGTGGCAACGGACATCCACGACTCCTGCATGTCGCAGGATTCGAACCCAGGACCTTCGGTCTTGCTTAATTAGTGTATTAAAAAGGAAAGTTTTCATATTTGTAAGTTTTGTCAAATACATTTCAGGCAAATTCATCGTTTCACTCAGCAATCTAGTTTACAATTTATCCAATTATATTTCCTTACATCATCAATTCGGCATTGAACTATTGTGAAACTGTTGTTTTGATTTTTTCCGACGAAATTCTTCACGGGTGATGAATGAAATGCACATAAAGTTTAATTTGATTTATTCACATTTATTGTAATTAACCAAATTTCTGAAAACTGAACTCTTCAATTATATTCTATTTTTAATAGGTATGGTTTCAAAATCGACGTGCAAAATGGCGTAAAACTGAAAAGAAATGGGGTAAAAGTAGTATAATGGCTGAATATGGTCTATACGGTGCAATGGTACGACATTCATTACCGCTGCCAAAAACAATATTGAAATCAGCATTGGATAATAATGATGAATCGTGTGCCCCATGGTTATTAGGTAATTTTTCCAAACAGAAGAAAGAATCATGCCTTTTCTGTTTGCTTGATAAATGTTATATGTCACATTGTGTTTTTCTTGGTAAATTATAGCAAAGGAGATTTGTGTTTGTGAAAATCCCATGAAATGAAGTTGTAGGTATGTATTGGGTAATAGCTATCGCAGCTTTTAATGGACTGTCCTAGTTATCGAACTAAATTTAGTTACACTACGGGGCTGTGAAGATTGTTGAATTACTTATTGAAATCATGAGGTTAGGTGTTCGCGCGCACGACTAAAGGTTCAGGAATCATGCATGTGTACTGCCACTGATGAGTAGTCCCATACCAGGACGAAACGGCTATCTTTCGGTGTCTACTGGATTTTACTAATGGTGATCTAACATTGAGCAATCCATAATTTCGATAAAGTAAGTTAGTCATTTCTACAGTTGAAAAATATCTGGAACTCCAAACAAATATCAATCATCACCGAAATCAGGATTTTTAATACAAATGTCATGACAGTTATACTGTATGGAGAGGAAACATGGAGAACTACCAAAGCCATCCTCCACAAGATACAAGTATTTATGAACAGTTATCTTCGTAAAATACTTCGTATTGGTTGGCCAGGCACTATCAGCAACAACCTACTGTGGGAAAGAACAAACCAGATTCCAGTCGAAGAGAAAGTTTAGAAAAAGCGCTGCAGGTGGATAGGAACACACATTGACGAAAAAGCACATGAACTGCTTCACAAGACAAGCACTCACTTTGAACCCTCAAGATTAAAAGGAAAAGAGGAAGGCCAAGGAACATATTACGCCGAGAAATATAGAAGACATGAGAAGAATGAACTAAAACTTGGACAGAACTGAAAAGGGAAGTCCAGGACTGATTTGGTTGGAAAAAACTGGTCGGTGGCCTATTCTCCATGAGCGAGAATAGGAGTAAGTAAGTAAGTAAGTAAGTCAGTATGTAAGTAAGTTAGTCATGTATATGATAAACTGTAGAATTCTCTGTAAATCCCTTTCTGAAATCATGAACCAGTCACTGTTAGACAGGACGGCCGTTTCGTCCTCGTTCAGGACTCATCAAGCCTCGCTTCTCGAAACTGAACCCTAGGACCTTCGATCTCGAGCGCAAACTCTCACACCCTTACACAAAAGCATACACTATGAAATGTAGTAGTTATTCGATTATTCAATTATACCTAAGCATCAGCTTAATGAAATATACTTTCATATATTTAAACCACTCTCATCTTAAAAGAATATAACTTGAATAAACCTCTTTTATTTTTTTATGAAATTCAACTAGTAAGTTCACTGACATCGATTAAAGTCACTACAAATTTTTTTATCTACAAGAATAGAAAATCATGGCGATTTGACAAAATTCCCCTAATTAAATCGAAAATATCATCTAACGTTTTATGAAAAGACTCCATTCAGTGGTTTTTTATTAGTTCAAAAATAACAACTATCCAATTACTGTCTTCTTTCTCAGATTACTTTTAATTCCTGATTTGATATTATCCTGTTTTTCACTGTAGAGTTTTTGTTTGAATTATCTTAAGTTGAATGTTCAATGATTGAATGATCAGTGTCCAATGTAACTGGTTTTTTGGTAATATGAATGACTACCATTTTTGTAATAATCATGAATTGATCCATGTTAGACCACCATTAGAAACCTGGAAGCACTGAAAGACTACTGTTTCGTCCTGGTACTGGACTACTCGTCAGTGGCAGTGTGCATCCACGACTCCTGCACCTCACAGGATTCGAACACAGCAGGATCTTTGGTCTTGCTCGCGAACACCTAATCTCTGGACCACTGAGCTGGTATCTAACAATGTTAATGTCAAACTTCAATCAATTCACGAAGTTGTGCAACCGCTTACACAATCTTCGGTAGTTACTGGTCTACACCTGAACAGGTGTAGGACAAAACGGCCATGTTTCAGTGCTTCCAGATTTCTAATGGTGGTCTAACACGGGTCGATGCATGATTTCAAATGTGTAACTTAACAATCTTCACAACCGTGTAATCCTATTTTTGAAAAAAAAACAATGATAATCATCTTATTTTCCCACATGTTGACTTATTATTATTATTATTATTATTATCGAATTTCACCTTTTAATTTTCCCATATACACCTATAAACCTATTGATAAACATCTTTCACATGCATGCTTGCAAGTATACATTGGCGAGAATAAAATGCTTGCTGGCAAAACTACACAGATACACACTGTATGTATGTGTATTTCTGTAAAAGAAAACAAAAATTCTACACTTGATCTGTGCACATACAAGGCAGAAATTTCATTTCACTTACGATTTTCTAATTGCCTGTAAACAGAGTGACATACAGTCAATGAAAACATTGCACTCATGGGAAGTTGGGCAAACGGTAAACAGCAATACACTACACTGACAATGTAAAAACAACGATAGTTAATAATTTATTAGTTAACACCGCTGGATGCCGGCCCAGTGGTACAATGGTTAGGCGTTCGCGCACAAGACCGAAGGTCCCGCGTTCGAATCCTGCGAAGTGAAGGAGTCGTGAATGCGCACTGCCACTGATGAGTCCCATAGCAGGACGAAACGGCCGTCTTTCAGTGCTTCGAGGTTTCTAATGGTGGTCTAACAATGATTGATTAATGATTTCAAATGTGTAAAAACAAAAATCTCCAAAGCTCTAACTGAAAATATCGTAACAGTGCTCGCTAGTGACTAGCTTCGTTAGGAAATTCTCGGAGTTCTAGTGAGAAGACGTGAGCAGTGGAGTTCAACCCTGTCGGGTGTAGGCACTAACTACAAAAGACAAATGGGTGAGGTCACGTGAAATCCCTAGATCAATCAGAGTTAGACATTAACACCGTTGGGTGCCGGCCCAGTGGTCCAATGGTTAGGCATTCGCACACAATACCGAAGGTCCCAGTTTCGAATCCTGTGAGGTGCAGGAGTCGTGGATGTGCACTGCCACTGATGAATAGTCCCATACCTGGACGAAACGGCCGTCTTTCAGTGCTTCCAGGTTTCCAACGGTGGTCTAACAATCATTGATTGATGTGTAAAAACGCAAATCTCCAAAACTCTGCCTTAAAATATTAGTTTTCTGTTTTTAGTTTCAATTATCAATAAGGAAATTATCTCATCGACATAACAATTCTGATCATCATCATAATAATAATAATATTAATAATCCCATTCCCCATTATACATGATTGACCAGTTCGAATACATCTCGTCCGTCCACTTGCACGCACACATACACCTGTCTCTCTCTCCTTCCCTGTCGCTCGATGTAAACATGTACAGTGGATTCTGCTTGGGCAATCAATGACACAGACTGCTGAACACACACATCTCCCTCTCTCTCGGTGCGTGTGTGTGTGCGTATAAGTCTTTCTACAACAAAGTATTTAGACAAGTGGATTTTGCCTTTACCCTAGTCATAATATCCCATTGTGTTCTTACATTAATAGTTGTATCCACCACATCAATGAATGAATGTTTGTCAGGAAATAATGTTTGCGTTTTATCAAAAAATAAAATAAACGTTGATATCTATATTTATTTATTTATTCAGAATTTCTTTTATAATTATCCAATTAATCAATTAATTGCATAATTTCCATGTCCTTATAAATAATTTGTTTCGTCTAAACTACGATTACTGCTATTACTACTACTACACCCATGTCTCGCTCGCTCGCTCGCAATTCCCTAATTTTCCCTCATCCGTTTTTAATAAACTTGATTTTTCTCACTTATCTATCTATCTATCTATCTATCTATCGGATAAACACAGTTTACTGACCAAACAAAACTTTACCTTGTTCATGTGAATTTTTTTTAGACCTCCTACTGTCATCCGAAATCCATCACCCACAATAATAATTAATAATAATTATAAGTATTATTATTATTGTTATTACGAGGAAGTTTCAAGCTAGCTTCCTACCTACCCTTCGATTCGAAACTTACTGTTTGATTTCATGAAATTAAACTATAATTAAATAAATTTTGATGCAGTGTTCCAATGAATACTGTCTATCAATGTGTGTACACGAATGAAGAAAACATTGGGTGAGTGTGTGTGTGTGGGTGGGAGGTAATATGAGATAGTTAGCCAATTTGTATACACTACTTAACAAGGAACTTTATTATCTCTCACTCAGTCACTCACTCTTCTATTGAATAGCCTTATTTGATCCAGACCAAATGTTGTTACATCATTGGCCTAATTTCCTCATTTTGGTTTTTGCGTGAATGTATAACTAGGGAAGTGGCAAACAATTAGGGAATAAGGATTGGCATGAATACACACGCACACACACACACACTTGATCTTTGAATATCAACGTATTAAAAAAAGGGGAATTATTTTGGATTGAAACTAACTGAGATGAATATTTCCTGATAATGAACAAAAAAAAAGATTGTGAAGCTTAAATTTATTATTTTTTTCAAAAACGACAATTGAACAGGAAGAAGAAAAGTTGAATATTGAACGAGCAGAGGGTGAAATCAGGTGAGAGCGTGAGAGCGCGCTCTCTCGACATGGACACAGAGAGAGAGAGCGGGAATTTGAAGAATAATTAATTTGAAAAAAAAACGATAACAGCCTCGAATAATGCACGCTATGCATAGTTTTAACTTTTCTAATTAATTTTCATAGTTCACACAAGTATCTAATTATATGTTTTTAATATTAATTTACAAGGTGAATCTATACATCACTGTGTATACATATGTGTGTGAGTGTGTTGGTCAGTGAATATTCACAATCGATATATATATATATATACATGTATTCTGGAAATGATCAGCTCTTTATCCTAAACTGTACACCATATTTCAGGCATAGATAATAAATAAAACTAAAATAGTACACACCCCATATATAATTAAAGCCTTAGATACTTACTACACTCAGGTGTATTTGATAATGATTATATAATTAGAGTTGTGCACTCACTACTTACTACTTGTACACAACTCTATAGGAAGTCTTTAATTTTCGTGCATTTTTTATTCTAATAAATTAATTGTAGAGGGGATAAATAAATATTAAAAAAAATAGTAGTTGCTTTTTCCTTGAAAATTATCAAAATTGAATCATTAGTAGTAGTTATCTGTGGTTGCTGCGGTTTTGTTAAAATTTCATATCATGGGGTGCCATTATTCGTTTTTTGTTCAAGACCGTTTATTATCTAATAATTAAAAAAATTATTTTTACTTCAAGGCTATGATGAAATTGTATTTAGGTTGGTTTTCTTCATTGTTACTAAGGTGTTCATTTCGGCCTAACTCTCTCTCTGTATGTGTACATAACTGTATTGTGAAATTGAATGCAAAAGGGCTAGAGGTAATAAGCGTGTGAATTTGTAAAAAATTTTGTTGTTAACTCTATTACTGATCAGAGCTAAAGGTCAGTTAGTCAGTCAGTAAAAAGACATGACCAACGACATAGATGTGAACCATTTGATAGACAACATGAAATCATGAATCGATGATGATCAATGTTAGGCCATGATTAGAAAATTTGAAAGCACTGAAAGACGGATATTGTGTACTGGTTGTATATAGGCACTACTCATCAGTGACAGTGTAAAGAATCGCAGGAATCGATCTCGGGACCTTTGGTCTTGCAAGCGAATGACTAAATCCTGGACCACTGAGCTGGCATTCAACTAATAGATCTGCTGTTCAACCTTTAACCGTGTAGTAGTAGTAGTAGTAGTCGTAATAGTCGTAGTAGTGTAGTGAACGAGAACATAGGTGGGGCAACCGGATTGTATTTAACGAAAATTACAGAGTTACTCAGTAAAATTGGAAAACCATATCGTAAATCGTTAATTTGCAAAATATCAGTTCATCATATCAAACTGGACTGTTCCTGTTGCAAAACATCAATCCATTGTCACTATTCATGCGTTTCATACAAATTCCATTGTTTTCGAACTCTTCCTTTCTTGATGTTCCCCCCATCTTCTGCTGCCAGACATTACGTCATATACTACTTATAAGTAGCTCACACTACAGTAGTAGTAGTAGTAGTAGTAATGTAGTATCCAGAACTTCACCTTTTTAACTTCAGTCAGTATTTCATGGTCACCATCTATTGGTAATCATATATTGACCGTTGATTCACAAATAATCTTACTGGTTAAGTGGCTAACTTGAAATGTATTAACAGTGTAGGATTGTGGAAACCGTTGAATCTCCTTGAAATTATGAATCAATGAATGTTAGGTAGCTATTAGAAACCTGAAAACACTGAACGGCCACTTTGTCCTTATATATGACTTTGTATTAGTACGCTCTTATAGCCCTTGCTCATGGAGAACCGAACACAGAACCTTCGGTCTCGGGTAAAAAACACTTAAACCTTAGACCACTGAGCTGGCATCCAGCAGTGTTGATGTACAACTTTAGTCAATCCACGATAATGCGTAATCTGATCGACTGTGTTCAGTGGGAAAACACTTCACACCCATCATGTTTGAATCACACTGGTCACAGCTTCTCACTAGAACTCCGATAATTACCTCTCGAGACTAGTCCGTAGTGAGTACATTATAGGGTTGTAGAGATTGTTCAATTTTATTGAAATTGCGAACTGACTAGTGGTTCCACTGGCAGTTTAACATTGGTCAATTCATAACTTCAACCAAAAACTAGTAATCGACCAAACTAGAAAGAGACTAAAGATAATAATTCCATTGTAAGATAACTGATAAGTGAATGCCAGAAGCTCCTAAGCAGCCGAAGGGTCTCTATCTAATCACAACTCGATCGTATTTCTAGGATGTCTATGTGGAATAAAGTAACTGGATGATGATGTAACTTCGCTAATTGCAGATTGGATGGTTTTATCGAAGTTTTCACTCTGTAGGACAAACTATAAACATATAGATTTTAATATTACACCTTGATACTTACTGGGACAAAGATTTCGTTTGGTTTTCTTACAGCTTTCAATTTGTCACCTGAAGGCGAGTATCAAATGTTGCATTGTGGTGTATTAGCCTTTCTTTTAGCAGAGACTTAACAACTAAACAATGACCGAATTTTGTTTCAGATGACAAAGTGATCTAATTCATATAAACATAGAAAGCTTAGGAACACTGAGAGTTTCCGTTGTCCTAGCCAAGATTTCTTTAGCAATGTGTTTCCGTGACCCAGCATCCAGTTTTGGAGTCATGGCTGCGCATTGCTAAGAGGTCCTACTCTAGAAAGAAACCATCTCTCAGTACCCTCAAGGCTTTCAACTTAGACCAACAAAGAAATTCAACAATCTCCACAACTATATTGATAATTACCGAATTTTTGCATACTTCATGAACAATTTCATGTTCATCATGATGTTTCATTGACATTCTTTTGATAAATACCCCAACCCAAATCAGGCAACATTGATTGATTACATAGACTTTACACATTGAAATTCATCAACCCGTCATTGTTAGACCACTGTTAGAAACAAGAAAGCACTGGTCAGCCATTTTATCATCAGTGGCAGTAAGTATCTGCGACTCCTGCTATTCACAGGAACATAAACCCAGGATCTTCAGTCTTGTGCGTGAACGCTCAACCTCTAGACCACTGAGTCCTCGTCATCCAACGGTGTTATTGTCTAACTCTGAACAATCTTAGTAATTTCGCTCAATCTCACTCATTTGTCTTCAGTAGTTACTGCCTACATCCAACAGGGTTAAACTCCACTGGTCACGTCTTCTCATTAGTGAGTACATTGTATATATATATATATATTTATCGAAATGGACTTAGAATATGCCGATGACATAGTTCTATTCAGTGAAGACGCTGACTAAATGCAGAGTCTTCTGACTGCCCTAAGCAACAATGCAAGCATGTTCGGGATGCGGTTTTCCCCCTCGAAATGCAAAATGTTGCTTCAAGATTGGGTTTCATTGGCACCTGAACTAGTGATAGGGAGTGAAGTAGTCGAACGTGTAGACCGCTTCACTTATCTTGGGAGTCTCATCAGTGCCGATGGCCTGGTGACTGACGAAATCTTAGCTCGGATACAGAAAGCTCGATTGGCTTTTGCCAACCTGCGTCACTTATGGCGTAGGCGAGATATCCGTTTGCTGACTAAGGGACGAGTTTACTGCGCAGCAGTTCGCTCCGTCTTACTTTATGACTGTGAAATCCATACTCACTTCTCTAACATATACCATTATTTCAAATGTTATTTTCTTTTGAAAATCCTTACTCACTCATCGCATCATCTTTCTTGTCATTATTTTTTTTAAAACATAATATAGGTATGCATAAAAAGTCATCAATACATCAATCCAGTATAGAATCACAAGAATTAAAACAAGATCTAGTCCAAAATGATTCAAGTAATTGTGATCTATCAAGTCCAACAAATACAATCACTTATTTAACTGAATCCATACACTCAGCAGCATCGTCATCATCAACATCATCCTCATCGAATGAATCAGATAAATTGAATATTGACAATGAACTGGTGAGTAAAACAAAGCTCAAGTTAATGGATAAACAAGATGATGATTAGCAATATGGCGAATGTTCAAAGTTCAATATTTTCTTTTTTTAAAATCAAAACAGAAAACGATATTCGCGCTCTTTCTCTCCCACACACGAACAGATTGTTTATATAACTTGTATTGTACAGTTACACATCTTATTATTATGATTATGATTATTGTACACATGAAAATAGTACCGACAGTAATCATATGTTTGAAAAATTTTTTAGAAAACACAACTTATTGTAGATCATACAATGAATATTTACAAATGAAATAAATCAGATTTTTTTTCATATTGAAATTTGTGTTTTATTTGACAGTGTTACCGAGTGGAAGAAAGTTAGCCAGTCAGTTGGCTACAGCGTAGAACTTCGTACGTATGTACGTACATCAGTTCAAGTTGTCAACACCATATTAGCACACAGAGAAATGGTATTGTCACAACTGAACAGAGAAAATATCAAGTAGCAGTAGTCGGAGTAGTAGTAGTAGTAGTAGTAGTAGTAGTAGTAGTAGTAGTAGTAGTGTGAGTAGTAGTGGTAGTAGTGGTAGTAGTAGTGTGAGTAGTAGTAAATAGACAATTAACTTACAACTGATCCCATAGCCCATGCAGCTATAACTTCTCTACAATCAATTAAATCGTCTGGTTTTGTTTCTGAATTACACGGTGCATTATACTGACGTATACGATGTCCAGGACAACGAAACACTTCCATATGATGAATCAATCCTTGACTTGTTTCTGGTATATCATTTTCATACTTGATTTGTTTAAATAGAACGAGAAACAAACAAATAAATTTTGTTTATGAAAAAAGTTATTGTTTCGTTCAATTCGAGTTATGGAGATCAGTGTTCTTACACATTGAAATCATCAATCAATCATTGTTAGATCACCATTCAAAATCTGACAGCACTGAAACACGGCCTTTTCGTTCTGGTATGGGTCAACTCATAAGTGACAGTGCGCATCCACAACTCCCTGCTGCTTCGGGGTTTGAATCCTGTGAGTAGCCGGAGTCTTGAATATGCACTGCCACTGATGAGTAGTCCCATACCAAGGCGAAACGGCCATGTTTCAGTGCTTACAGGTTCCTAATAATGATTGTAGAAGTAGTAGAAGTATCCGATGCAGATGTGAGGGCGCGGATCGGTAAAGCTACAGGTGCATTCCTACAGTTAAAAAATATCTGGAACTCCAAACAACTTTCAGATCTTGCGAGTTATGGAGCTTGTGGATGAGCACTACCGCTGATGAGTAGTCCCATACCGCGACGAAACGGCCGTCTTTCAGTTCTTCCAGGTTTCTAATGATGTTGGTCTAAAAGTTATCGCCGATTCATGATTTCAGAAAACCAGCAATTTCAGTCACCTGTTCAAAAATTTCAAACAAATAAGAAATTTAATTCATTTGTAATAATAGTTTGAATCTCCCGATTGGTGGATCCGATGCAGATGTGAGGGCGCAGATCGACAAAGCAACGGGCTGCATTTCTACAATTGAAAAATATCTGGAACTCCAAACAAATATCAATCAACACCAAAATCAGGATTTTCAATACAAATGTCAAGACAGTTCTACTGTATGGTGCGGAAACTTGCAGAACTACGAAAGCCATCATCCAGAAGATACAAGTATTTATTAACAGTTGTCTACGCAAAATACTTCGGATTCGTTGGCCAGACACCATCAGCAACAACTTACTGTGGGAGAGAACAAACCAGATTCTAGCAGAGGAGGAGGAAATCAGGAAGAAGTAGTGGAAGTGGATAGGACACACACTAAGGAAAGCACCGAACTGCGTCACAAGAAAAGCTCTCACATGGAACCCTCAAGGTGAAAGGAAAAGAGGAAGGCCAAGGAACACACTACGCCGGGAAAGAGAGAAAGATAGAGGAAGATATGAGAGGAGTGAACAAAAATTGGACAGAACTGGAAAGGGAAGGCCAGGACAGAGTTGGTTGAAGAAAACTGGTGGGCGGCCTATGCTCCATTGGGGATAACAGGCGTAAGTGAGTAAGTAAGTAAGTAAGTAGAAGTACTAGCAGTAATCAAAAAGATTAGGGATAGAAAATATGATTCAAGAAGTATATGTCTTCAAAATAAAAAATGAATAAACGAAAGATTGATTCATTGAAAAATGTTTGGGATATTTTCGGATAAATCAGAAGTGATATTTCTTGATTTTTTTCCAAGTACTCAACTGGATGTAACATGAATTACATTCGTTCAATGTTAAATGGTTATACTATGTTACGAATCACATTTCACATATGATTTTTATGTGAAACTCCGACGACTCAAGATTTTTTTTATACTAATAAATTCAGTCTTTTTCTGTGATGATATTTGTTCTTATATTGAATGAGTCATCGTTAGATACCTATTAGAAACCTGGAAGTACTGAACAGGTGTCTCGTTCAGGTAGGGGACTCATCAGCAGTACGCATGCATGACCCCTGCTCTCTGGAATCTAACCGATCATCTTCGGTCTCTCATCCAAACGCATAAAAGTTAGACCTATGAACCAACATCCAACGGTGTTAATGTCTAACTTTGATCAGTTTGGGGATCTTTTGCGACTTCGCCCATTGTCTCTGGTAGTTACTGCCTACACCCTGCAGGATTGAATTCTACTAGTCACCTCTTCTCACCAGAACTTTGAGAATTTACTCACAAAGTTAGTCACAAGTGAGTACATTTTATGGTTTTTCATTTTCGAGTTATAGAGATTGTTTTATTCAATTGAAATTGTGAATTAATCACTGGAGTTCAAGTGAGAAACTGTGACCGGTGAAGTTCAGTAACTACTAAGGACAATGGATGAGGTTGCATAAAATTACTTGGATTGATCGCACTTAGACATTAACATCATGGGATGCCGACTCAGTCGTCCAGACGTTAAGCGTCCATGAGCAAAACCGAAGATCCGATTCCTCGAAGTAGCAGGAGTCGTAGATCCCCACTGCTGATGAGTACCATACCAAGAGCTCTAACAGTGATTGATTCAAGATCTCAATGAAACTCAACAATTTTCATAAGTCTATCGTGAAAAATTATATTTCTATTCGATTTCAATGACAATTTGAAGACATATAAACTTTTTCTCATTGTTTTCATATATCTAACACTGAACGTGAACATTTTCATGATTTAATAAGACTAAGGCAACATATTCAAATGATATATACATATATGAGAAAATTTTCATTATTCTCATTGGTTATTATTAATTAATTTTATCCAATTAAATAAAACTTTGAAAAAAGAAGTTTATGAAGAAAAAATAACCATTACTTCCGCATAAAATCAATATGGTCCAATGAAGAATCAACTTCAAAATCACAGAATATTAAGTAATTATTGTTCGGGACTTTCAATGTAGTCGAATTAAAACAAAAAATCGACTTTAGTATACACATCAACCATTTTGAAATTGTTATACTCGTCACTTGATATGCTTAAAACTATTACAAGTTCAGCTTAGTCGATAAACGAGAACGAGACTATGTACCAGTGACACTGAGAAGACTGAGGCAGACGCGGAAGATTCTGTTATGCAAATTTACACTCTGAGTCAATTAACAACGAAAACATTACATTGAACACTCTATTTGCACACCATTTTTGAGTCGTGACTTCCAGCGCTCCATCCCTCTTTCATTCCTGTTGTTGCTTCCTTTCCTTCCTGTTGGTTGGTACTCCATTTACTTCTTGCTTTTGCTCCATTTGCTTTCCGTTTTCCTCTTCTGACCGTGAGACTTCTTCTTTCACGTCCCTACTTATACTACTTATATCGTTCGTATAAGTAGCACACACCACACACGATAGGCTACTCTGATCCGTTGCTCCGAAGGAACTGAAGAAAAACTCCTGATATGGTGTAGAAAGTGTGTTCTACAGAACACCCAGCAAACACAGTGGATTCAAGCATACAAATCGTGTTTATTTATACATCATAGAAATGTCCTTGGAAGAGTCACAAAAATAGCTTACTAAAATAACACATCAGCCAATCAGAGCTAAGGATTTTCCTGGTGGGAAATGTGATCTCAAGGTCAACTGGTCAGCCCATGAATAAAATCCAAAATCAGGACCTTGATCAAGTGAGCTCTGGTGATCCAACGTCCCCGTTTCATTCGGGTATGAGACTCATCAGCAGTGTGAGTTCACTACCCCCACAGCCCTCAGGAATCGAACCTGGGACTTTAGGTTTTGAGTGCTACTGCTTAATCTCTGGACCACTGAGCCGACATGCAGTGGTGTTATTGTCTAACTTTGATCAATCCACAGTCTTGAACAACCTCATCCTCCGTCTTCATCGAGGACTAACTTTACCATTGTCCTATTTCTAGTAAGTAACTGATACAATATGACCAACATTTAACAGTATCTCTAAGTTAATAATTTCACAATAATATCTAATGAATGATACTATAATTGTATTTGTTTAAATATTCATATTATTTTTAGTAATGATTCGCACTAATCAAATAATAATTGAATTTTGATCAATATTTGTCTGAATATAGCGCTTCAATCATAAGTTTTTAGAATAGTCATCTTACTGTTCCCAGTGTAAAGTATGTGTATCAAGTTTCAATGGGGAGATCAATACAGGAATGTAAATGAATATGCTCGAAGAAACTGAAATAGGATAAAGCAGGTATGTTAAATTAAATTTGCTTGGTGCCCTACTAGAGTTACTACCAGTCCGAAGTCCGGATAAAGCAGGAGGGTCGGGCATGCTGTTGGCGACTCCATCATGTACAGATGCAACTTGCCAAAAGTTTGCTAACCAAAATAAATAGCTCGAACCGTTTAAACTCTGTCCTGGTAACTGGAAGGTGTTCATTTTGAAGGATTATGCAGCCTCATGATGAAAGCTGAGTTCTGTTTGAATTCACAAGGTCGACGTTCCTACTATTAAATCAATGATACGATCAGTCGTTTCGAATAGATTTCATTGTAATTGGTTTGAATTAACAATTCACAATGGACATTTAACATTTGTAAACATTT